TAAGTAATCTCTACACTCAGTGTGGGGCTTGAACTCACAACCCTCGGATAGGAGCCAGGCACCCCTAGATTGAATCTTTGGATTGGCTTTTCTTGGCTGTTTTCTTATGGTTACATATGTAGGACTCTTTCCTTGCTCTCTTAAACTTGGTTTTTGGCCTACCTGTTGAGTGCATTGTAGAACCAACAGATGTGAGATAATGAAATTTTAATTATTGTAATAACTCCATTATTTCAGAAATAGAATTATAATTATGATATACGGATCTACAACCCAAAGCAGATAATTCAGAGTGGGTGAGTATGTTGGCTAAATATAAGTGATAATTAGTATAAGTGATAGGAAGTTTTGACAGCTATGATTTTTGACAAGTGCTTTGGTTTTATTTTAATTTTAAAAGGTGTTTTCTTTTTGTTTTTTGTCTTTTTGTGAAAGCATTTATATTTCTGAAAATTCAGTTCTGGTGTTTTGATTAAATAGGTCTTGGCTACCACTTTTGATCCATATTTGGGTGGCAGGAACTTTGATGAGGCTTTAGTAGACTACTTCTGTGAGGAGTTCAAGACCAAATATAAGATAAATGTGAAAGAAAATTCTCGGGCCTTATTGCGCTTATATCAGGAATGTGAAAAACTGAAGAAGCTAATGAGTGCAAATGCATCAGATCTTCCACTGAACATTGAGTGTTTCATGAATGACCTTGATGTTTCTAGTAAAATGAACAGGTACCATGTATGTTTTCAATTTAAATAAAGTATTGGCTACTTTTATGTTTAGATCATGTCTGATTTTTTTTCATTCTGTAATTTTAGAAGATATACTTGATTTTTGTATCCCAAAATGATGAATTTTATTTCATTTTCCCCCAGGGCTCAGTTTGAACAATTATGTGCTTCCCTCTTCACCAGGGTTGAGCCACCATTAAAAGCAGTAATGGAACAAGCTAGTAAGTGTAAATTACTAGATTAACCATCAAAATTGTATTATGGCATTAACTCACTTTAATGGGGTAAGAAATGGTAAAAGGAATTAAAACTTCATTTGTTTTTTGAAGATTTGTATTTCTCATTTTACAGAGGAAAATGGCAATATGAATCTGGGCTTATGAGAGCAACTCCTGGCTCATGTTCTAGTTTGCATTATAAGTCTAATACTAGTTATATTTGGAGGTGTTTACATGTAAGCATATAGTGAAGTCTAAGATGAAAATAAAATGTAGAAAGAGAACATGATTGCTTTTTGTTAAGGTTTTTTGGTAATCAGTACCTTCTGTGGGTATTTGTGAGGTAGAAGTTATAAAATTGAAGAGCCCATGAGGTACTTGTCTATTCTTAATGTCATCTGTCATCTGGACCAAGTGCAGTGGCTGACACATGGATATTATTACTTATTAAGCTTTGCCTTTTTCCAAAATTTGTTTTTATCTTCTTTCCATTTAGTCTTGTTTTGAGCAAATAAGATATCTACTTAAAAAAAAAAGTACTTTCCAAGGGCTTTGTTCATATTTTTATAAAGACTATCTTATTCTCAATTAAAAACATTTTGTTTTTCAGACTTGCAACGTGAGGACATAAGTAGTATAGAAATTGTAGGGGGAGCAACACGAATTCCTGCCGTGAAAGAACAAATCACTAAGTTCTTTCTTAAAGACATAAGTACCACGTTAAATGCTGATGAAGCTGTTGCCAGAGGATGTGCATTACAGGTATGATTATTAATCCTTTTTTAGAATGTATATTTTGCCAGAAATGTGACGACAGGCCTAAGGGGACCTTTTGTATTATCTGTTCCAACCATTTGTCAGGCTAAAAATATATTGAAATTATTTCTGATAAATAAGACTTGTGTCTTTCCAATTTATGTTTTTAAACTGTCCTAGGACAGTATGTCTGTACTGTAGTGCAAGAACATTTACTTTATGATTCTTGTAATTATTCCCATTTAAAATTCTTTTTTTGAGATTTAAAAATATTTTATATTTTTGTAAGGTCATAAAAAGTACTCTGACACTTGTAAATTTTAACTAGCTGTTACCAAAAGACAATTTTAAAAACATAATTTTATTACAAGGACTTTATTAAGCATTTCAATCAGGGTAGCCTGGGGTATGTTTTGTGTTTGTTGATTTAAATATGGTATACATCTTATTTTCAGTGTGCGATTCTCTCACCAGCATTTAAAGTGCGTGAATTTTCTATAACAGACCTTGTTCCCTATTCAATCACATTAAGATGGAAGACCTCTTTTGAAGATGGAACTGGGTAAGTTACTTTTAAAGCCTTGTTAGAGCTTGTTGTAAATAACCAGTTGAACCTAATTTTCTCAACTGGAGGAATTTACACTTCTAATACTCTCAAATACTTTTAAGTAAAATGTTAGAAGAAAGGAACTATATATAATCTATAAACCATGATGATATATTTTTAATTAGTATTTTATTATAAAGTAAATCGTTCTTACATTCAAATAAAAATCACAAGGTGGAAATATAAAAATTTAAAAACCTGCATCTGCCATACCCCAACTGCTACTTAGCACATTTTACAGAGGTAACTATCGTTAACAGCTAGGTTTCTATCTTTCCAGTCATTTTCTTTGTCAAAAATAAAAGCATGTACTTTGTTAATACATACATGATCATCTGTGTGTTTCCAGTGCACCTTGTTTTTTTAAAATATGTTATATATTACTTTTCCATGTCAACAGTGACTATTTTCTCAGCACTTGTGTGTGCCGTAATTTAACCAATACACTCTGGAGTCTTATTTTTTTCTGTTTCAGGCAGTGCTAATAAGAACATCCTCATACACATCTCCTTGTTTAGTTGTGTTTGGTATATCTGTAAGATAACCGTATAAGACTAAAATTGACCCAAAGGATATGAACATTACTATAACTAGTACTGCAACATTATTCATTAAAAGGATTATACTAATTTATATTCCTTTTAGCATTGCTGTGATTATCTGTTACAGCTTATTTTCTCCTGTGCTTTTAAACATAAGATTCTGAAAGTGAAAATAAGTACTTTGGTATTAGATTTGCATTTCTGACTATGAGCCACAATCTTTTCATGCTTTTATTGACACTTATGTTTCATTTTCCATGAACTGGCCAGGATTTAAATAGCTTGCTTCCCTACCAAAATAAAAATTTATGTTTCAAATAATATATTTGACTGCTTTTCAGACATAATTTGTATAATAAAATAAACCTGTTTTTAGTTGCTTTTAACTTTTTAGTTTTAAGTTGCTTTTAAACTTTTGTCCTGTGCTCTATATATTCATACCCCAAGAAGCTAAAATTTTACACAGATTCTAAAAATAGATTGATCTGAATGTTTTGCAGAGCATTTAAATGGCATGTGTTAATGTCAATTTTGAGGCAAGAAATGCTGTTATTTAAAGTTAGTTTCATGGGTGCCTGACTGGCTCAGTCAGAAGACCATGCGACTCTGGATCTTGGGGTTGTGAGTTTGAACCCCACATTGAGCGTAGAGATTACTTAAATAAGTACTTAATTTCAGTTAAAGATACAGTGATCCAGAAAAAAATTATGTAAGAAACCTATGGAGGAGTTAAATTGAAGGGGCGCCTGGGTGGCGCAGTCGGTTAAGCGTCTGACTTCAAGCCAGTCACATTCTGCCTACTCGGGAGTTTGGCACGCGTGGGCTTGATGGCTCAGAGCCTGGAGCCTGTTTCCGAGCTCTCAGGTCTCTCCTGCTCCCTCCCCATTCATGCTCTGTCTCTCTCTGTCCCAAAAATAAATAAACGTTGAAAAAAAAAAATTTAAATTGAAAAGTAAATTAGGGCCTGGTGGTAGCATTGTTACGTCTGACACGCCTATGAGTCAAGATCTCGGCGGTCTGGGAGTTCGAGCCCCGTGCTTTGGGCTGGACTGGTCTGATGCCTGTTCCATTTCCCTAGTGCCCTTCCTCTCTGCCCTCCTCCCCTGTTCATGTCATTCTCTCTGTCCCAAAAATAAATAAATGTTGAAAAAAAAATTAAAAAAAAAAAAAAGTAAATCTATCTGTATTATATTAAGAAAGTAGGGGCCGGTGAGCTCAGTCCCTTATAAGCATCTGACTGGCCTTGGTCAGCATCTCATGGATAGGACTCATGGATAGAGCCCTCAAGAAGGCTCTGTGACTGACAGTCTGCGAGACTATGTTCTGTGGTCTCGCTTCATCTCCTCCCCTGCTCTATTGCTGTCTCTCAAAAAAAAAAAAAACTTAAAAAATTTTTTTAAGTAGTAAAAGATGAACGATCCTTAAAACCTAGATAGAGGAAAGGTCCATGAATGTGGGATTTTCAAACCTCATAATTAGGGTGACAATACAGTATATAGAGTGAGTTTCTGGTTACCAAAAACAAATAGTTATAAGCATTTGTTTACATTATTTAAGGAATAGGAGTTAAGTGGTTTTAAATACCTCTAACAGAGAGGAAGGTTTTCTAATTTCATTTTTTATTTTTTATTAAATAAATAATATATTTATTATTTTTTAATTAAATTTTTTATTATTTTTTAAAAATTGTTTTTAATGTTTTTATTTATTTTTGAGACAGAGAGAGAGCATGAGCAGGGAAGGGGCAGAAAGGGAGGGAGACACAGAATCCGAAGGAGGCTCCAGGCTCTGAGCTGTCAGCACAGAGCCCGACGTGGGGCTCGAACTCACGAACTGTGAGATCATGACCTGAGCCAAAGTCAATCGCTTAACTGACTGAGCCACCCAGGTGCCCCAAATTTTTTATTATTTAGTAATAAAGGATATTATTATATCATTTGTAAAAATTGGAATATGGATTGTATGTTAAAGTATCAGTATAAATTTATAAAGTTGACAGCTGTACTGTAATTATTTTAGAGCATATCCCTACTAGGAAGTACACACTGAAGTATTTAAGGATAAAGAGCCATAATGTATGTTAACACCCTCCATTGATTCAGAAAAAAAATACACACGTACGGAGTGTGTTGATGAAACAAATGGAATAAAATGCTGACAGTAGTAAATCTAGGTAAAAGATATACAGGTGCCCCTTGTTCCTTGTCCTGTTTTTCGTTTTGGTTTGTTTGTTTTTTCCCTAGCTCCCTTAAAAAAAAAATCCTTTATTTGGAAATAATTTCAAACTTCTATACCGGAGCAAAAATAAAAAGTGTTATATGTAACAAGTATTTTGGAAACTAATAAATAGCATTTGGTCCTCATATGGGAGCAAGAAACTAGCCCTTGTGTATTGGCCTCAAAATATACCTAATCTCAGTTATTTTTTCTTTGCTTGATAAGATAGAATTGTCTGTCGTACTATGACAGACATTCTAAAAACTTGGAGCCAAAAACCTACCAAAATGCATATTCATAGCCAAACCAGTAATTCTTTTTTTTTTTTTTTTATTCTTTTTTATATTTGTGCATAGAGGTCTTCACGGTTGCTACTATTGAATTAGGAATGACATGGATTCTGTAATTAGATTCAGATGCAACTTTCTATTTGTTTTTAACTGTTTTCTCCGTTTTAGGGAATGTGAAGTATTTTGTAAGAACCATCCTGCTCCATTCTCAAAAGTCATTACTTTCCACAAGAAGGAACCATTTGAACTAGAAGCATTTTATACTAATTTACATGAAGTGCCTTATCCTGATCCAAGAATTGGTAAGAGAACTCAAGAAAAAAATTTCATAAACTTTTGCTTTTTATAAATATATTAATATTTGAATCAAGGAAGTAAATAAATTGATATTTCAGCCAAGCACTGGATTTGTAGAGAAAGATATCCATACTTTTTCTAAACACAAACTTTTAGTGCTCACAGTATTTCTGGAATAACAGCAAGTTTTGAGTATTTTTTAATTCGTTTTTACTTCTATATTTAAAATGCTCTGTAATCTGCCTGAAAGGTTTGGGTGAGGGCTATTTTTTATGGAAAGACTCCGTAGTAAGTTGAAATTGTGTTGCCAGACTGACTGTATATGACTCTAAATTTATGCTCCCTGGCAACAACTAGAACGAGTATCATTGGAGCAATATTAAGTGAGAATCAGGGACTGTAATATCCATTTTAGTTGGGTAATCTTTTTTAGAGATAAAAAACAAGTATGATTTTTATAACATTTACAAGAGAAGGAATCATTTGTAATTTTTTAAATTTTTTGTATGTACTGCTTTATTGATAGGCTAGAAAGGGAACAATGTGAATATTTCAAATATGTTATTGAAAGCAGTAAAAATAAATTATTGAAGGTGGAATTAATTTGCTAGGGCTTCTGTAACAAAATACCACAAACTGAGTGGCTTAAACAATAGAATTTATTGTTTACAGTTCTAGAAGCTTCAAGTATGAAATCAAAGTGTTGACAGGGTTCCTTCTGAGGGCTGTGAGGGAAGGATCTGTTCCAGGCTTCTCTCCTTGGTTTGTGGATGGCTGGCCATCTTTATGTTCACATGACATTCTCCCTGTATGTGTATCTGTCTGCAAATAAGGATACCAGTCATTGGATTCAAGTCCACCCTGATGACCTCACTTTAACTTGATTCCCTCTGTTTAGACCCTGTTTTTCAAATAAGGTCACCTTCTGAGGTACTTGAGAGTAGGACTTCATATTAATGTGGGAGTGGGAGTCTCCATTCAACCTATAATAAAGGTCAACCAAATTTTTTAGTTCTCAGTTTTTCTGCCTAGTATTCTCTTTCTACTATGGATATCATTATATATTAAGATTTTTCAAAATAAAATGTTTCTTAAAGTGAAAAGTTAACATGATCTCTGTAGGTATTAGTATCTGAGTAACTTAGCAATTTTGCTATAGGGCAAATAAAAATTACTTTATTTATGAATTACCAAGATGATTATAGTGTTACAAAGCTTATAACAAAAGTATAATTCCATTTGGTTTTCAAACTCAAGTTGAATTGTTATTTTGGTTTTAGAATAGCAGTATTATAAAATACTTAAAAATTACATTGCCTTGAGTCAGATTGTCCTTGGTTGAAACTCCTACTTACCTTTGTCCTTGCATTAAAGATTTTGGGCAGGCTGCTTAACCTTTTCTGAAACTTAGTATTAAGTTTATTAAGCTGTAAAAAAGAAAAAAAGTGATCTAGGATCAGTGCCTTTCTCACAGTAATTAATCTGGATGTGATGATAATTTTATGATTATTTGCCAGCATCAAAATGATAATAGTCAAATTATTGAATGAACGAATTGAGTAAGTTAATCAGAGGGCCATGTGCTGATAAAAGCTCTTTTTTCCTGAAGGGAACTTCACTATTCAGAATGTCTTTCCGCAGTCTGATGGTGATAGTTCCAAAGTGAAGGTTAAAGTTCGTGTTAACATCCATGGAATCTTCAGTGTGGCCAGTGCATCAGTAATTGAGAAGCAAAATGTAGACGGGGATCACAGTGATGCTCCTATGGAGACAGAAACTTCATTTAAGAATGAAAGCAAAGATGATGTGGTATGTAGAAATCCTATTGCAAGATTCCTCTAATATTATATATAGTTTCAAGGGGTGCCTGGGCAGCTCAATCATCCGACTCTTCATTTCAGCTCAAGTCATGATCTCACAATTTTGTGAGTTTGAGCCCTGCATTGGACTTTGTGCTGACAACTCTCGCTCTCCTTCTCTCTTGGCCCCTCCTCCACTCACACTCTCTCTGTCTCTCTCAAAATAAACTTTAAAAAATGAAAAATTAGGGGCGCCTGGGTAGCTCAGTCAGTTGAGCATCTGACTTCAGCTCGGGTCATGATCTCACGGTTTGTGGGTCCAAATCCCACGTTGGGCTCTGTGTTGACAGCTTGAAGACGAGCGTGCTTCACATTCTGTGTCTTCCTCTCTCTCTGCCCTTCCCTTGCTCACACTCTCTCTCAAAAATAATAAATAAACTAAAAAAATGAAAAACTAAATATTATATATAGTTTCTTAGTCATAACATAATCAAAAATAATCTGAGGTTTTGTTCTAAAGTTCTGTTGTAGGGATCAGTGTAAACTTTTTTTTAAATAAAAGCATAAAAGAATAATTTTAAATGCTCTACACTTTTCACATTTTAAACTCTTTAGAGGTTTTGCATCTTTTTAATAGCCTTATATTAAACACATATGTGTGTTTGGAGTCCTCTTTCCTAAATTCTTCTTTATTTCCATTAAAAACACGTATTATGGTTAGCTTTTTAGCTTACAGATAAAATCAATTCAGATTGATGAATTTTGAACTATATGTGTAACTATTTTTAGATTGATAAAGCACGTGGCTAATAAAGAATTTTTCTGGGCTTGGGAGTATCTGTGGCAGTTGAACAGAAGAGTGTGCTATGCATTCAGTAACGTTAATACAGATTTTTGACAATTTATGAAAGAGTTATGTGACCCTGGCATTATTCACTCTTGGTGTACTATAGATGCAGGAATTTTAAGTGAACATGATTATATTCCATTACATAGAGATTTTATTTTTTTATATGTATACTATTATAAGTTATTTTTAATGGCATATGTTTTTTCCAACCATAATTGGAGATCTGCCCTAGATTTTTTGTGTATTTGTGCATATTAAGAATGGATTTTGTTTTTTGTCAGATTTCAAGACCATTTTTCCCTTTTGTGGAGTTCATCTTTCTGTCTGTTTTTATTAATACTCTAAAATCCTGCACATTGATCAGAATTCTCCTTAATGTACTTTATTTAAGGATCATAGCATTTTCTTTCTTCTTCCCATGTATTATTTTGCTATTACATCCTTCCTTGAATTGAGGAGAAAGAAATGTCCTGATCTGTTAATGAAAATACAGTCAATTTTTTATAAATTAAGAATAATAGGTGAAAAGTTAGTTTTATTTTTTTTGAAAAGTTAGCTTTCTTAATTGTAGTTCACAATAATTTAAGTCAGACATGTAAATTTTTAATCCATTAAGATTTATTTTTACTAATATTGAGAGCACTCTGTATGCCTCTAGGATGAATTCTTCATAACCATTTCTGTTTTCTTCACCTCTGCTGAGACCTTTAGTTTTCTCTATATTGCGATTCTGGAGCACTAAAAAACAATAATATGGCACCCATTTTTTTCTGCTTCCCCTATTTTGTCTATGAGCTTGAGGTTCAGTTAATCTGTCCTTGGGAATAATTTGGATGTGGACTTAAAGGACTCAGTTGTGAATTAAAGGTATGAAATAATGACATTTGCTTTAGCTACTCAGAGACTTACTTGCTTATCAAGAGTGTTCTGCCTTATTGGAACATTTCCAAGTAGTTGATGTTCCCATATAAGGGATTTCTTCTAGATAAGTGAGATGATCCTAAATACTACTCCTACAATATATATATAATCAAGGATAAAGGAAGGTTAACATTATGGATCCTATCCTTGGTGTTATTGGCAAGCACATTCCACATATATTGTCTTCTTTTAAATCCCTAGCACAGCTGATATAATAGGTGTTGAATAAATTAGTTTATTTCCAAATCATTGCTAACAAGGGGTGACGTTGAGTATCCTGTGTAGAAAACATCCCATGTACTGTATTTCTTAGTGGTTTTCTCTAGGATTTTTTAAATTCTGTATCCAGAAGTTTAAAACCATAAGGCTTACACTCCACTATAAAGTCATTTCTCCTTTCCTCCCAAAAAATGTGAATCAACTCAGAGTACACTTTGGAAACTAATTGTTTCAGTTTTAGAGGAGAAAATAAGAGGGTTTTTACTCTACCTCAGCTGCTGACACTGCTGACTCTGATATAAAGAAACCCAGTGAGCAGCAGCAGCAGGAGTCTTTTTTTTTTTTTTTTTTTTTTTTTTTTTTTTTTGTACATGAGTCAATTTATGAAATTATGGGCCTCATTTTTTTTCATTAAAAATTAACATAGCTTTGATTTTCCTAAAAAATAATAACAGAGTGCTGACTTTTCTTCAATATAAAGATGTCTCAGAAAATTAAATTGATACTTCTTGGTGTATACTAATTAATACATGGTCATATTAAGAAGTTATCACAGCCTAGGCTTTATCACAAAACCAAAGATCAGAAAGACTGTGCTATTCATCGTACTTCTATACCTTGATTTTACTATTCCTCAACTGTTGGCCATTTGAGTGGTTCATCTTTTTATTTATTTTTTCAAAATATCTAATTACTTCTATGCACCAGGCGCTGTTTTAGGCACTAAGGATACAGTGGTTAAGCAAAGAAGAAAAGGCCCTCGCATCTATCTGTTACCTACATTCTAGTGGGAAAAGACAGGCTAGAAGCAACAAGATACTATATAGAGGAAATTAATGGAAGGGGGGTGCATAGTGGAAATTAACTATGTGATAGTGATGAGGTGAACCACCTGTGAGGAAGGAACAGGTAAGCCAGCCTGAAGGATGAAAAAGCAGTTTGAAGATAGGTAGTTGTCTGGGCAGAGTGAGTAACAGGTATAAAGCCCTAGAGGCTGGAAGCTCTTTTTTGTATTCTTTGTTGTAACAAATATAAGGGTAGCTGATAGATCAATAAGATATAGGAGTGGAGAAGGTGGAGAGAGCAGCAAGAAAAAACATTTAAGAAAGGTAGATCAAGGGGCAAATCAGGTTAAAGCCTTTATAGTTCATGAAAATGATTCTGGATTGTATTCTTAAGTGCTTTTCATCCAGCAGATAACTAGAAGCACTAAAATGTGTGTTTGGATATAGCACTGAACAAAAAAACGATCTCAACCCTCTTGAAATTTAAAATCTATAAGAGAAGCCAGAGTCTAGAGGCACTTCCTTTATTTAATTTCCCCACTATGGATAATATTCCTATGAACATTCTTAAATCATTTTAAAAGGTTAACAGATTACTCTCAAATTAATTGTGAGATGCACGGTTTTCCACTTTTTAATATATCTGAAGTTGGGGTAGGTCTTGCAAATGGTTATTGTTTAACCATTGCTATTGCCAATGGCAGTCATGACATAGTTCTCATCACCTGTACGTGTGTGAACTTGGTTGCTCTTCCCAGTGGCATGACTAGGCAATTGCATCCCCTTGACATTTCTGTCAACAAATTGTTAAAAGACCATTCAAGGAAGGAATTCTCCTGTTGTTGTCTGAAAACAATCTGCTGACTACTTTTGGTAAGATAAAACACCATGATGAAACTTGCAGAATAGGTATCAGCGGCTTATAAGAAAATACTACAGGCCATACCTAGACCAAACTTTTTAACGAAAGCTGGGTCACTAATGCCTTTGATGGCACAGGGGACAATACTGTGTAGACAAATACATTGAGAACTGAATTTATTTGAAAGAGTTGGGTTCTGAATGTGAAGTTTTAGAAACACCTTAACCACTTTATATTGTTTATCTTTCAATATATTCACAATAGAAGAGTTCTTCAAATAAGTATAAAGTAAAAATGCTAAGTGATCAAGCATTTTGGCCACTTAATTGGTAGCATTTTTTTCTTATTAAATAGAGTTAACAGTGTATTTGTGTCTTACTGCATTACTTCAACTGACCACTATCACTTTTTTTTTTACCTCTTTTCAATCAGTGGAGGGAAGTTGTACAGTTGGAAGGTGCCAAGGGGTGAGGTGGGGGTGTAATACCAGAAATAATTGACCTTTTTTTTTTTTTAATAATTGACCTTTTAACTACAAAGAATGCTGGTATAAATTATCTCCCAATTTATTTTTCTCTTTGGTACAAATAAGCATTTATTCATGATCGCCTTTGGGGTATTTTGTATTTGCTTAACTCCAGATATATTAGAAGACTTAAATTATACTGATTCCTGAATTCCAAGCTTTCTTCTTTTTAGGAGGATGGTCATAAGTAAGGTTAAAAAAGACCAGAAAAATCCATTCCTTCTGATTATTTACCAAGTAGAGTCTATTTTGACAGTCATCTTGGTTGAGAATTTGTCTTCTAGACGTTAAAAAATCTTTGAAGTTTTTTAATTCGGAGACCTCTACTTTGACAGTTTCAATGTACTGAGTATTTTACTACATTTAAAAATATAATTGAATTTATGTAATACATGTATTTTATACCTTTATTTTCTCACATTTGTAAATATTTTTCATATAAACATGTTTCATGTCAAGTTTAATGTTCTTTTCTGTAAGCTTACGTTTGTGACTTTTGGTTGGTGAATTTTAACTTGAGAACAGTTTTCCATTTATTTTGTAGTTATTTGCCTATAGGTGAATGCAACTTTTCATTCACATAGCATCAAATAGGTCATTTTATTTTATTGACCTGTTAATCTGTTTATTTGTATTTATTCTCATTTGAAAAACAACCTTCTACTTTACTATGTTCACACTTTTCAAAGCAGGTTTGTACTCTAAGATGCTGTTTATTAATAATAAGGAAGACACTACCAATATTACGAATTATGTATTTTCTTTCCAGGATAAAATGCAAGTTGACCAAGAAGAAGGAGGGCATCAAAAATGTCATGCTGAACACACCCCAGAAGAGGAAATTGATCATACAGGAACCAAAACAAAGGTGTGTTTTATTGTTTTTATGGGGGTGTCTTTTTGAGATTGCTATTTCGAGTTAATGTATTCACTTTATAATGCATGCTTTTAATACACTTGATATTTAAACCTTAGAACTGTGGAAAAGTATAAGAAGGACACAACCAGAGTAAATACAATTCAGTGAGTTATAGAGAATTTTTAAAAGAATGAACCTTAACAATAAAAGTAAAATTATCTCTCTGGTAGGAAAAAAGATGTGTTTTTCAGTAATTTTTTTGTGTTACTAAAAGCCATATAATCCCAGAAAAATAAGAAATGGAATAAGCTAAATGAAGAAAACTTAAATTGGCAGAACCTTGCATCTCAAAATTAACCACTCTAAGCATTTTGCTACATATCATAAAATATTTTGCTTTGTGCAAAAATATTTTTGAAAATAAAAATTTAAAGGGTAACTTTTTTATTGAGAGTCATAATTTTACGAGACAGTCATTGCTGATAAAAGGGAGACCATGACCCAGTCACACAGATGAATGTGCTCTAAATATCATCTTCAACGGATTTTTCTAAACTAAGAATTTAATCTGTGTTGGTTAATTGTATAGATTTTTTTCCAGAGGTTATAAAGATTCCATTTTAATTCCTGGGCTCTCAAGCAATATACAAACTGAAACCCATTTTTCTAGATTTTTTTATTTTACTTGATTTTTTAAAATATTTATTGTCAAGTTAACTAACATACAGTGTATACAGTGTGCTCTGTGCTTCAGGAGTAGATTCCCATGATTCATCGTTTACATACAACACCCAGTGCTCATCCCAACAAGTGCCCTCCTCAATGCACATCACCCATTTTCCCCACCCCCCCAACCGCCTTCAACCGTCAGTTTGTTCTCTGTATTTAAGAGTCTCTTATGGTTTGCCTCCCTCTCTGTTTGAAACTATTTTTTTCCCCTTCCCTTCCCCCATGCTCTTCTTTTAAGTTTCTGAGATCCCACATGAGTGAAAACATGATTTACTTGATTTTTTTTTTTTGCTTTAATTGCTTAATAGCTTGAGATATAGTTTACATACCATACAATCCATCCATTCAAGTGTACAAGTAAGTGGTTTTCAATATGCTCACAGTTTTACAACTGTTATCACAATCATTTTCTCAGCATTTTCATCACCTAGGAACTGCCCAACAGTTTTCCAGAATGTTTCAACATGTTACAGTCATGTCAGCAATATATGAGGGTTCCAATTTCTCCACATCCTCACCAACTCTTGTTTTCTTTTTGTTGTTTTTTCATTACAGTCATCCCTAGTAGGTATGAAGTGGCATCTCATGATTTTAATTTGCATTTCCATCCCGGTATTTTTTATGTAGAAAGATTTAGTGTACACAGTATAAAATACTATCTGTATTAAAGTAGTCTTTAGTAGAAGGGTAATAGTTTTGTTTGGTTTTACATTTCTGTTTTATGTGAAATCACTTTTTAAATCTATTTTTAAGCTAGTTTTAGAAATTTATACTTCTCTTACTTTTTTTTTTTTTTTTGCAGTCAGCTTCCTCAGACAAACAAGACCGATTAAACCAGACCATTAAAAAAGGAAAAGTCAAGAGTATTGATCTGCCTATTCAGAGTAGCCTGTGTAGACAATTGGGCCAAGATCTTCTCAACAGCTACATTGAAAATGAGGTATATAAATCTGAGTTGATGTTGAAATAAGTGGTAGTATATTCTAAAATCTTTGTAGAGGTCAGTGATTATTCCCCCCCCCCCCCATTTGGGGAACTAATCCATAATTTTTTTTTTTTAATGTTTATTTTTGAAGGAGAGAGACAGAACGTGAGTGGGAGAGGGGCAGAGAGAGAGGGAGACACAGAATCCGCAGCAGGCTCCAGTCTCAGAGCTATCAGCACAGAGCCTGACATGGGGCTCGAATTCAATTTGTGACATCATGACCTAAGTAAAGTCAGTCGCCCAACTGTCTGAGCCGCCCAGGCCCCCCTAGAACTAGTCCATAACTCATAAAGAATTATTAAATCGTTGAACTCCTTTATTTTGGACAAAATATTGAGCTGTATATTATGTACAGTGGAGCTTTCATCATAGTTATGTGAAAAATGTGTTGTCTTCACTATAAACAGTACTAATGATTCTTACCTGCTTTTACTGTGTAACAGTAACACCCAGCAGACATCATATGGGAAGTATTCGTAGCCCCCCTCTTCTAATGTATTGTTCTTAAAAGTCAAGGCTCTATTCAAAATGTTTTCTGACTTCATTTAATACTTTTTAAGATCTGTTGTCATTCTTGAAATTTTCTTTACATGTCTGTGTGTTTAATTTTTATAGTCTTTTGAGGAATAGGGTTTTGTTTCTTGACTAGCAATTGTATAAGTAGTAATTTTATGTTTAAAACTTTTATTTAAGTACTAGTCCCTAATTTCTATAGGCTTGGCTGGCGTTAAAGAAGGTGAGTTTTCTTTGAAGTGCCTCATATTCTCCCATTTGCTGCACATTATTCTAGGAATTTCTTTGAGATATTTTGACTTTACAGTGCTTGCTCTTTTTAGTACCTACCCATACTGTCTATTCATTAACTATTAAAGGCTGAATTTTCTGTGAAGCAAACATTCCTGGAAACCATGGGTAATTCAGTTTTGAGACTTATCTTCCCAAAGTAATAAATTGTAGGCAAGTGCAGCTATGGCAAATTCTGTGTATAAATATTCTTAAGTATAAGAATGTATAAACTTTTCTTAAGTTTTTAAATGTTTATTTTAAATTCCAAGTGTCAGTGCACTGTAGTCTTCTGTTTAAAATACTGTGTTTCTGTTGAAATGAAAATTTTGTTCAAGTATTACAATCCTCAGATTATTTATTTGCTTTAATTAAAACAATCATGTTTGCCAACTGTTTAAAACACTTTGATATCTTAATTAATCCTCACAACAAACCTATGAGGTAGAAGTACTGTTAGAGATCTGTGTTTTACAGATGAGGAAACAGGAACAGGTATACTAAATCACCAGATTTAGTGGCCAGAGAGTAACCTTTGGATTGGATCTGAGTAGTCTGTCTCCAAAGCTCAGCATCGCAACCACTATACTGTATCCCCTCCCAGAGCTAACATTTATTTAGCATGAGTTATATGCTAGGCACTATACTAAAATTTCATGTGAATTATGTCAATCTTATTAACAGCCCTAAGAGATAGATAGAAGTATTCTGTGTTTTAAGGCAAGAAAACTGAGACTTAGAGAGGTTCAGTGACCTTCCTGTGATCTCAAAGCTCATAAATGGGGAGCCAAGGAATTGAACCCTAGTATGTACCATGACATAGACTATATCTGGTTTTTAAAATAGCTTTATTTTTTTTATGTGTATGTATTTTTGACAGAGACAGAGCATGAGCTCTGGAAGGGCAGAGAGGGAGACACAGAATCTGAAACAGGCTCCAGGCTCTGAGCTGTCAGCACAGAGCCCAATGCAGGGCTCGAACTCATCCTGAGATCATGACCTGAGCCAAAGTCGGATGGACGCTCAACCAACTGAGCCACCCAGGCACCCCTAAGATAGCTTTATTGAGATATAATTCATATACCATACAATTCATTCATTTAAAGTGTACAATTCAGTGACTTGGTATATTACACATTACTAATCTTTTAAACTGATAAAATATGCCATTTCGACTAAGTGCACAACAATTCAGTGGCATTAATTACATTCATAATTTCGTGTAACCATCACCACTGTCTATTTCCAAAACTTTTTCATAACCCCATTGTGTCTGTAATCATTAATAACTCACTATTCTTCCCTATTCCTCATCCCCCAGTCTGTCTCTGTGACCTTGCCTATTCTAGAAAACTCCTATGAATGTAATCATACAATATTTCCTTTTGTGTCGGTTTAGTGCACTTAGCATGTTTTCACAGTTCATCCATGTTGTAACATGAATTAGAACTTTATTCCTTCTTATAATAGAATATTTTTTATTATTTATATATATATATATTTCATTTATCCATTCATCTGTTAGTCGACAGCTGAGTTGTTTCCACCTTTTGGGCTCTTGTGAATAATGCTGCAGTGAACACTGGCATAAAAATAACTGTTTTGAGTTCCTGTTTTCAATTCCTTTGGTTATATACCTAGGAGTGAAATTGCTGTGTCATATTGTAATTCTTTATTTAGCTTCTTGAGGAACCACCACACTTTTACAAAACAACTGCAGCATTTTAGTTTCCCAACAGCAGTGTACAAGGGTTTAAAATTCTTCACATCCTCACCAACACTACCCATGTCTTTGATTTATAATCATTCCAGTAGGTGTAAAGGGGTTTTGGTTTGCATTTCCCTAATGCATTTTTTTTTTTTAATTGAAGTCTAGTTGATACACAGTGCTACTTTAGGTTCAGGCGTACAGCATAGTGATTAAATCAGTCTATACATCATGGTATCCTCATCACAAGTGTAGCTATCACCTGTCACTATACACTATTACTATGCCATTGACTATATTCTGTGTTGTACCTTTTATCCCCGTGACTTACTCATTCCATAACTTGAAGCATGTATCTCTATTCCCTTTCACTGATTTTGCCCATCTCCCCACTTCTCTCCCCTCTGGCAGCCATCAGGTAGTTCTATTCATGGGTCTGTTTCTGCTCTTTATTCATTTGTTTTGTTTTTTAGATTCCACATGTAAGTGAAATCATACGGTATTTGACTTGTTTAGTATAATACACTCTAGGTCCATTTATGTTGTTGCACATGGCAAGATTTCATACTGTTTATTGCTGAGTAATACTCCATTACACACACACACACACA